CACCCCCCTCTTCATGTTACACAGAGTTGTTACAGACCTCCTAGGATGAGACATTCTTTCAATCTACAAATGGTTACATACTTCTAAGCATATATAAATATATATTTCTAGGCATAAATGACAATCCAACAACACAAATCTAACAAAAACACTTCCACTTTGGTAGAGCTGATGGTGGAATAGGAAGGAAGACTACCTGATGTGCTGAATGGGTGGCAAAGATTAAGAGGTGTGGTCCAATACTATTGACCGAAGTGTCAAAAGAAGAGCTTCAAGAAAACTGTTCCTAAAATCTATTTATAGAAATGACAATGAAAACTTGCCTGGAGCTCAGGCTGTGTTGAGGAATAAATGTGGCGACACTAAATGTCAACTTTCAAGCTCACTGGAATTCTGCAAACACATTTTTTTCCTTACAGTATATGGTGTATGCCCACGTATGTTTGCACACGTTTCAATAAATCATTGCATCTATTTATCATTAATATATAAAATATAAATATGTGTAGTTCAGGTCTCCTGCGCAGCCCTGAAGTTTATAGATAATATATTATAACAATGTAAGCACACCCCCTTTAATCCAACCATAAGCAAACGCTACACTTTCAACAAGCGCTTCTTGATGACGTAAGTGGCTGCATAGCGCCTGGCGTTGTCCTTGGATACGGGATTTCTCCTCTTAGCTTGTTTCGCTAAGAAGATTGGACTCCGTCTTTGCTCGCTTGGCTGATGTTTTGTCGGTGTAGGCTCACAGAAGTTGCCTCTTAGTATAACTGATAGGAGTGGGACAGCATGAGCGGCATCGACTACAGCGTGTGGGACCACATCTACGTGTCAGACGATGAAGATATCACGTGCCCGTTCGTGGACACGCCGAGCTTGTTCGGAATGAGACACCGGGTCAGCAGTGACAGTAGTGCTAGCCGTGAAGTTTGGAGTGCTACACCTGGTTAGTCTTCCCACTAGTAAACCTGTAGTAGCAAACCGAGAGGGAGTAGACAGTTTGAGCAGCCGGTGTTACTTATGTGTAAATATACAACGGACATACGCAATTCGGCTGCAGGCTTATTTTAAGCCTTTAGTTTCCTAAAGGTGGCCTCCGGTCCGGTGATAAGTCACCGATAGAGAAAGAAAAAGCAACGCTGTGTGTAAGATAGTGAGGTAATTCTGTAAAGTTTTGGGGGATTTCCATATACTTTGCTGTTGGGTAACATCAGGTTATTTTAAAAGGGGAAATTACTTGAAATCCTTTAGCATCTGAAACGTGGTAAACAACAAGGCATTTGAAGGAAGAAGGCAAAAAAAAAAAATACTAAAAGAGGAAGACAGCTCTTAAAGAGAAGTCCACTGCCAAATTAACAACAACAAAAAAATGTTTCCAAAGTCAAAAAAAGAACCACTAGAAGAGATTAAAAGTTTACTTTAAATGATCAAAACATACAACAGAAACCTGCAGTGTTATTTAACAGGAAATGCAACATGTAGCTATTTTTGCTTCCTTTGCTCTTTTTTTTTTTGTTTCTAGGAAAATGTTAACATGGCTTTCATTTTAGATCACCTCTGATAAGATTGTTCTACTGTTAAATGTCAGCCCGCAACAAATAAGCAGGTGCAGAGTAGACGTGGCTGAGGTAGCGTGTAAAGATCTGCTCTTGATCTCCAAAATAATAATAGGCTTTCCTGGAGCTTTCAGTCCCCTCCTACACTCTGCTTGATGAGCTTTTCCAGAGCTTTCTAATGCACGCTGAGAGTCTTCATCTCTTTAATGGTAAATGCATTAAAAGTATGCTCATCTAAAATGTGTATTGTACACTGAAGAGATGTCACACGTTTAATATGTTCGACAGCAGTTTTACTTCTCTGATTTTCATTTTAAGTTTGAAACGCATGCCAGGATTTTGAGAAGAAAATTAATCTAAATGACATTAGTTAGAAGGTAAAAAAGGAGTTTGTGTAAGTAAGTTTAAAGTACGTTTGCTACAGTGATGCTGTTGGTCAGACTGTGTCTGTCTGTGGAAACTGGCTCTGATAAGCTTATCTCATTGTTACCATAGGAAGTGAAAGGTTCTAGAGAAACTTGCATTTCAGTATTTCCCTGGCTTCTGTTGCCTATTGTGTCACCTGTTTGTTTTTTTTTAAAACACTTTACAGTTTGAAACATAAAAACTTTCGAGGATAACGGGAAAGTCCAGTGAACACCACTGTGTTTGAAATGTTAACTGTGGAGAAGAAAATTCCAGTTAGATTATTTGAACTGTGCGATTGTATAAATGTGACCACATCATGTAAACTCACTCATGCACTTACACAGTGTCAATAAAGCTCCCAAAAGTCAAGGCAAGAATTTGTTCAGAGACTGTTTTGATTTTATTTCAACAGCTGCCACAAAACCCCGGTTGAACTCAGACTCCAGTTGGAATTCATGACCCTGTTTTCCCATTTGCACTGCAAACACATTTAAAACTAAAAGAGGACAAAGGGCTGTGAAACAAGCTCTGAGGTCTCATGATTGTGGTTATTTGTCACCTTGTTGATCACACTGTAGATTTCATTCTTCTGCGTAAGCTGAGCCAATCATGTGATGCCTTTTTCAATCAGGAAGGAACATGTCATGGAAACACATGAGATGTGTAAAGAAAAAAATGGCAACACAGCTTCTGTAAATAGAACATTTCAGCAGTCAGTGCACTCTGTGCTGCTGTTTATTTTTAATGTGACTGCTTACGCTGCCAAAAAAAAAAAACCCAAGCACATGCAGTTCATCTGTAAAGTTTGGGCTGCAGTACGACCTTGTACTAAAGTACCACTCAACAGGTTTCCATAGATATTATGTTCTGTTGGACGCGAGTTACCATGGTGATAAAGCTTGGTTGAAGAGCACCACCTTCGACACAATGACAACTCTTAACTGTAGGTTCACACAGGGAGAAATAAAACAAAATAATGTGATGCTATAAATATATCCAGCTGTTTCTATGTGCAGTGTTGAGCAAAAGTCTGAATCTGTGCCTTTGTTCTATTCAGGTATGCTTTTACTGCACTGGCAGTGTTTTTGAGATCAGTGTCGTGGTGAAAAATGAAGCCGATAGCTGAACTGCAAATGAGTGAAAAAGCAGTTAGTGTCCTAAGAAAATCCTTTAAACCTTTAAGAAATCCTGAAGAGCTATTCCTCAAGACCACTTTTAAAAAGGACAAGAAACTCTGGCCCCTGGAAGCAAAACATAAAGAAAAGAGTAGTAGCCCAGCACTTTTTGCACTGTTCTTTTGAACCTGTTATTAGCACACAGTACCTTTAACATAACGGTCAACCAACAAATCATCAGTGCATACACACAACCACTACAGATATCACGTTAGATATACTAAAAAGAAACGTGTCAAAGCCAAAACTGTAGCAACCAAAGCACGGCCGTGTCATCTCAATGAGATTCTTTTTGGCAGCGGTCAGTCAAAGAGCATACAAACATGCTCGTTTGCTCTTCTTTTTAAATGCAGTCCTGTGCTACCAGAAGTACCAGATATTATTCTTGACCACTTCACTACCAGAAGTGGTCAAGAATAATATAATCTATAATCTATTATAACACAGCTCAGTCTTTCTGTTTTGTGGCTCAGAGAAAATATTGTGAGGCAACTTAAACTTATTGACCTTTGATAGACTATGTATCTGTCGCTATTTGAGATCTTTCTCCTACATCAGGTATTGATTTTTTCTGTAGTTGTTAAATTCATTAAAAGTCTTTAAAACTACAGAAAAGCAGTACCTGATGCAGGGAACTGCATGTGTATTTTTTTCCTATTATACCATCTTTAAAGTGGGCCTGCAAAGCTCTTTTTCAGCTTCAGCTTTTTATTCTTAGACTTTGGAGGACTAGCTTGACATGATTCATAGATTAAAAAAAATTCTCATTGACCATAAACAGCACCTCACTGCGTCCACTTCCTTGCTTTAAAGTCAGATTTCATCTGATTGGCTGCCCCATTAAAAGCAGAAGGTTTAAATAGCAGGTGGGTGGGGCTTATGGTCTCACTGCCAAACCTACATGCCTGAGATGACCATATTAGGATATCATTTGTCTTTGATAACAAACAGTCTCGTAAAGTATAGTAAAAAAAACTGCCAGAAATTGAGCGTTTAAAGGCGTGTCTCTCTGGGATACATACACTCACAGTGGGCCAACATTAAATTTGACACATTTAAACAGGATACTTCTTATTTAAATATACTTCTTGTATGTTTTCTCCCTACACAGTGTCCATATAGCTCTTGTCTTGGTGTCCCTGTTTCACTTTTGAATCACTTATGCTTTCAGCTCAGTCTCTGCCTCATGTTTATTTTACTTTTGTCTCTTTGCTCCCGTCCACTCGGGACCTCCACAACAGAGCCGGCTGGAGAAAATGGTAGCGTTTCAGCAGAGAGGGGAGGACCTGGAAACCAGCTTTGCAGAATGCAGGAGGCTATTAGAGGAAGCCCAGGGACGACTTGCATACCTAGAAGAAAGAATGAGGGAAGGAGGTGAGGATAAGGAGAGGGAGGCTGAGCTGAAAAAAGTCCAGAAAGAAATAAAGAAACTGAAACAGGATGAGAAGTCCTTTGAGAAATTGCTAGAAGAACACCGAAAAGAAGAGAAGAAGCTGCCCTGGAATGTAGACACTATCAGCAAGGATGGTTTCAGCAAGGTAACGCAGGCCATCTGGGCCGCAGGATTTGTCAACTTTTCAGTTTCCTGATTTACATGTTGTCTTATCTTACTTTGCAGAGTGTGCTCAACGTTAAGCCTTTATCAAAGGAGGAAACTGGGGAGGAAAAGGTGGAGAACCACAATAACTTTCTGGGGAAGTATGGGAAAGAAATCAAACACTTTGGTAAGTGAGCTGGTTGTGTTTGTTGTGTTTCCCCCTATAATCCCACACATTGTCCTGCCTCATTACTTACCTTATCCCGCTCTCTCTCACTGCTCTCCCCCTCCACCTGGTGGAAAATATGTGTCATTCGGAGTCTACAAATACATTTTTACTCATTGTCCCAGACGTTTCAAAGACACTAAATTGTCTTATAGGCTCTGGACAGTCCTGTAGCTACAAGTTGTTAAATGTGTTGTAACGTGCAGTTTCCACTGATTGATAGCTCCATGTTCATAAGGTGCATGTTCATAAGAAACACTGAATGAGTGAGCTTCTTTACAGTGACAGAAAGGGGATGGTTTACTGGTCTGGCCCACTTAAGATCACAGAGAGCCGGATGTGACCTGCTCTAAACCGACACAGCTTTTACTTGCAGTTTACTAACAGGATATAACCAATTAAATTTTTTTAAGTATGGATTTCCTGTTTGTAAAATTATGCTTCGAGTGGCATTAACAGGACAACACCCAGTAAAATATATCCTGAAGGGACTTCCACTCGCTCAGATTGCCTGGTGATTAAATGCCTTCAGCTTTTGTGTGCCAGAGTTCTTCTGAAACGAAACAAACTGGGGAGGGGTCATGGAGAAGGAGGGTGTATGTTTTTAACTGCGTCACATAGAAACGGATAAAGAGTAAAATTTAGTGTGTCCACACACTTTCTTAAAAAGATTCCCCTTTTCTTATCTTAGAAGCTCTCGTTTTTAAGACTTCTCTTATCAGCCCATATTAATGTTAATAATTATTATTGTTGTCACAGACTTAATGGAGTTCCCCTTAAAATGGGTTGTGTAAGCAGTCAAATAGTTCTAAAAAAGGGATGACTTGAGTACCAAGAACAGCAGTGATTTCGCAACTGGAGCCAGTATTTCAGTAACTGAAAGCAAAGGACTTACAAAGTGTTTGCTTTGTAAGTCCTTATACACACTGTTATACACAGTATACACTGTTACTGTAGTGGGTATTCATAATAAGCATGGACAAAGTTTCAAACAATGAAGTTAGCATAGGAAAAAAGCTCAGGCTTTACACTGCTCTGAACATTTTTCATTCTCTTGCTCCTGATGTCAGTGGCAGCGGATATCCCAATACTGTTTATTAAGACCACAATAGTGGCTGTGAGCAGAAGAAATAACCAGCTGCTATGTTTATGAGAGCAGCTATTCAAAAGGAAGCTGGCTAAAATAAAGGGGAAAGAGCACTTCAATGGTGGTGACAGTGGGTGAGAAGAATTTTCCAGAGAACTGACAAAGCAATGAAAAGAAGTCCAAGATCTCATTTTGTAAGATCTAAAAATATTGAAGCTGATCTCTATTTCCATTCTTTTTTCAATCATATAACTTCTGGAGATGTGCTTGTGCTCAGCATAATGCTCAATACGATGGCGTCTTCCAGGGATGCTGCGGCGCTGGGACGACAGTCAGCAGTATCTGTCAGACCACCCGTACCTGGTGTGCGAAGAGACTGCTAATTACCTTGTTGTCATCTGTATCGAGTACGAGATAGATGAGGTGAGTGCAGTGGGGAGCGTGTGAGTGCGTGTTGAGGTTGAAATTCAGGCAGGTAGAGCCTTCAAAACTCTCAATATGCTTGCAGAAACACGCCCTGATGGAGCAGGTGGCCCACCAAGCCATCGTCATGCAGTTCATCTTGGATTTGGCTCGGGCGCTGAAAGTTGACCCAAGAGGCTGCTTCAGACAGTTCTTCTCAAAGATCAAGGTATGCTACTTAAACGTGCCTTACTGTGCAGTCGCTATGCTCAAGAGAATTCAGTCATTGTCATATGCGTGCGTGTCCATGTCAGACTCTAGATAAGTCGTACCAAGATGCATTTGAGCATGAGCTGGAGATGCTAAAGGAGCGGGTCCGCAGTTCTGCACAGACTCGTATGGAGAACGCTGTGAAAGAGCTGGAGGAGGAGGACATACAGAAGAGACTGGGCCCAGGTGGTTTGGACCCTGTAGAGGTCTATGAATCGCTACCAAAGGTAGGCCATACATGCAGACACACTCTGGAGAGAATTTTGGAACAGCAGTTTTTCATGCATTAACAAGTATGATGAATACTCTTGTTCATTTCAGTAAATGACTTAAAAACCTGGGTGTGAAAAGAGAAGATAACACGCTGGGTCAGAGGGCGAAGTGCTGATTGATAGTGATTATTGATCATTTTATTAAGAAAAAACCTCTCAACCAAACTGAAGATGAAAGTTGATATACATGATATGGATACAAGTACAGGAGCAGCTGCACATTACACCATCAGGAGCTGCTCGGCTGTGGAAACCAGTGCCAGACTTTTACCCACTGCGTGCCTCAGCACTCGGCAGTCCCACTCTCTAACTTTACCCGATCAGCATTGCTGACCCCTTTGTGGCTGAGCTGCTCTGATTCCTAAACACTTTCACTGTCCAACACAGTTACGTCTGAATGGTGGAAGATTTAGGAGATAAGAAGTTTCACAAACCAACTTGTTGCGACTGTGGCATCCTACCACTGCTCGTAAAGGCGGGATTGTATACAGAACTCCAGTAGAACGATTTCCATTTTATCTTGTTAGGAGACAAACTTCCCGCCCCAGTCTCTTTCCTTCCTCTCAGTTTTAGTATCCCAGAGTTTGTAGCACACTCTCTTTGTTTTTCAGAATAATTCATGGGGCGTGTTTAGAAAGTCAAAGGTTCCCACACACACTGTAAGCTTCTGCAACATTTTATGCAATCGCACACTGCAGCCAAACACCTCACTGTCTCGTTGTGAAATTGCCTCAACTTTTAAACATTGTTAAAGTTTCCTCACTGTACACAGCAGCTCAGACGCTTTGTTTTGGTATATCAGGTGAAGCTAAAAGCCCAGAAAAGTCAAAACTACAAATTAGCTCAGAGAAGCTGTAATTATCCAGTGAGGAGTGGCTAGGAAGTGGAGGAAGAAATAACAGGCTTTTGAAGGATGGACGATGCAGTCTTCTTAAACGTAGATATATTTAGAGAATATAGCTTCTCCTTAACTACTTAAAATTTAACACATTCACACAACAAAGACAAGCGCCTCCTCCTTCATGCTACACTTGACACATGCTAACCCTGTTGTAGTCGTAAAGTAAAGGCCTAATTATCCATGCAGTTTATGTTTTTTATAGATAATTACAGTCCTGTTGTTGGAATATTCTTCTCTTACTCGTTTTGTTTTTTGTTCTTTTTAAATCAAACGGACTTCAGCATTAAACCTAACCTTGATAAGTGATTCTACTTTGAACTCACACAACATTATACAATGTTATTCGGGGGGGACTTGGTTGGTAATCTTAACTTGCATGTATTGTTCCGGCGTTCTCATTGGATGGATCGTTTATGCACCTTTACTTTAGCTTCACTGACGTTGTGTTTCACAGCCAAGGTTTCTTTTCAAAG